GCTGGGAGCATTCAGAGCGAGGCAGGAGGCCTAGCTGTGCTATGAGCAAAGCTCATAACTATTGGAGGCAATTACCAACTAAGCGCCAGGGTGAAAAATCACAGCTGCAGATTGTTCCTAATCACAAAGGCAGGCTACCAAGCCTGAACAGCGGAAAGTTGGTGAAGGAATAAAATTTCCATTTTCTTCCACTGCTATGAATTTCCATTTTCTTCCACTGGAGCACCTTTCCTATGAGGACAGGCTGAAAGAGTTGAGGCTGTTCAGCCTGGAGAAGAGGAGGCTCCGGGGTGACCTTATAGCGGTCTTCCAGTACCTCAAGGGGGCCTACAGGAAAGATGGGGAGAGGCTATTCAGGAGGGCCAGTTGTGATAGGACAAGGGGTAATGGTTTTAAAATAGAGGGAGGTAGATTCAGATTGGATATTAGGAAAAAATTTTTTACCATGAGAGTTGTAGAACACTGGAACAGGTTGCCCAGAGAGGTGGTGGATGCTCCATCCCTGGAGACGTTCAAGGCCCGGTTGGACGAGGCCCTGAGCAACCTGATCTAGTTGGAGATATCCCTGTTCCTTGCAGGGGGGTTGGACTAGATGACCTTTGAAGGTCCCTTCCAGCCCTAACGATTCTATGATTCTATGATTCTATGAATGTCATCTTTAACATACAGTACCACTGAATCCTGTAATTCAGGCTTCAGCAGCTGGCGGTAAGAAGTGATGTTCCACAAGATGAAATCTGTAGGTAAGCCTCATCTTTAATCCAGCTGGAGATCATAACTACTCCTGTAGTCATAATTCTGCTGCTAAGAAGTCTTTCCTGCATGTCAGTCTGAACTGTGAAGCAGACAAAAATAGCCAGTGGTTGATTTTCACCCCACTTGCAAATGCCAAACCTGGCCTTTTTATGCCAGGTCAGCACTTAGAGCAATGTGATGAATAGTGGATTTTCCTGAATTATCATGCAAATGTACTTTTCCGCTCTTCTCTTTCTAGCACAAGGAGAATTAGCAAATAGAATTTTGTCAGCTACTCCAGCTCATCCTAGACCGCTTTCATTCATTCTGTCCTTACCTATTCCATAAATCACAGCCATACATGCAGATACCTGGAGCCCACACACAGCCAGGTGTTTGCTGCTTGCTTTTGTCCTGCAACACAACCGATGCTTAGCTTTAGTTTGAATTTTTTGCTTCTTAATTCTTTGCGCGTCCAGACAGCCTCTAATGCAAGTCACTAACCGCTGTTTTGCTCTCTTGGCTGCCAAGGAACTACCTTGTTCTGCACTAGCCCCGTCCCTCCAACCCTGCTTCTCCCGGCCAGAGAGACCAGCGAACCGGCGCCCACCGTCGCGATGGGCTTCACATTCCCCTACTGCCTCACAGTCGCAGTTCACCGGAGACCTGACTTCCTCGGAGGAGAGCGGAAGCAAGGAGCCGCCAGCAGAGACCCCCAGCCAGGAGGCGAGCCGGCCTGATTCCACATGGGATTAGGTGGGGCCACGACTCGCCTCCGCCAGGTCGCCCGCCAGCCGTCTCTGCCGTGAAGGAGAGAGGTCCGCTTGGAGAGGTCAAAGAATGTTCTCAGATGCAGCTGCTGAATGTCCGACCTGGGAAACAGAGGTGTTTCTAGAATGAAACAGTTAATGTGCCTGTAATAACTTAATTTTTTTCATAGCTGAGAAAACTATTTTTGTCTCCATCTTTTCTACATACAGTATATTAGCAAAAAAAAAGGTAAAAATGATATAAAGTAAGATTTAAAATAAAATGTAAATTAAGTTTTAAGGGAATTTGAATACGCGCTCACGCTCTCTCCAAATACTGACTGCCTTTTGGTTATATTTGCACTGTTATGTTTTCGATTTTGGTTTTGGGTTTTTTGGGTTGTTTTATTTTTTATTTCATGTAAAACTAGGGTCTTAAGTTAATTTTATTCTATTTTTATGTCAGTGTTACTGTTTTTTAAAAGTAAGGTTCTTAAAGATGCTTCGACTGTCTGAAGCGATACCTTTTAAGTAGTGAAGAAAGCCATTAAGCTAGTTCACTAGACTTGTATTAATTGAGATGGAGGGGAATACAGGTAAACACAAGAAAAAGTGTGTAAAAAAAAAGAATGCCTCAGAAAGTCTTATGGAGTTAGCTGTAAAATACACCTACAATACTTGACTTGCATGCCTCTGGGTCCTCGCACTTTAGTGCATGTACATACTGCTACTGTACCATCACATAAATGTGAGTCAATCTGTTTCACTGTAATATTGTTGTGAATTTACCTGTACTGTACTTTTATTGTTGGTATTCTTGCATTGACTATACAAAAAGAGTTTTTAAATTATTGTTAGCAGTTCAACTGGCTATGTACAGCGTTTACGGAGAACTTCCTTTGTTTTGGGAAAACCACGGAGATCTCTGGGCATACTAAATTGTAACTGGTCTTGTTTAAGAGTCTGTTGGAGACCATGTGAAGTGGAAATAAAACCCTCAGTATTTACAAGCTGCTTGAGTGCTTCGTGATGTTTTTTTACAATGGTACTTCCCAGGTTCATTTAACTGGGGGGGAAAGCCCCCAAACTCAAACTCGTCTTTTGTTCATAAGGGAAGAAGAATGCTTCTTTATGTGAAACAAATCATGGCAAACCCAAATATTATGCTGTGCTCCACAGACTTCTGTAAGCACTGGATCAGGCCATGAGAAGGTTTCTAAATTCCCTCACTGAACTCTGCAAAACAGCTGCTTACACAGATAGCAGGACCCATCTTCTCAGCTCCTCCAGGGCCATATGGCTTGTTGCTTTCGGTCGTTCATGGGAGTTGAAGCCAGCTAGCTAAATATAATACCAAAAATATGACATGTCCAATGTTAATCCACGCTTATGTCTCCTCTGCATTACACATAGAGACCAATAAAAACAGGGCTTTTGTAGAACTGATGGCTAACACTGAAAAGTAAATGCAGCCGAGAGTTTGCGTGCTTCCGAGAGGTGGAAGCCTCTTGAGCTACTTTGCCTGAGACCATCTGTTTGGCCATGTGCCTTCTCTGGGAGCCCCAGAACTGCTCTGACTAGTTATCCCATCGCTGAACTGGCTCATTCCTGTTTGATTTCCTTTGCCGAGGCTTTCTGAGCCTCATTTGTTAAAGAGCACCATCTGGAATCCCTAGAAGCCTTCCTGGTTAACTGTCAAGCAATAAGCCCTTCACATCCTGTCCTGCTACATCACGGCCAGCTTTCTAGGAAGTTTAATTCAGCTGTTGGATGAGAACTCCCTAGCTTCCAAACAACAGCCAGTTGAGATCTGATTTCTCTCGCATCAGTTAGGACCACGACTATTAACTCAGTGTCAAAATGTCCACCTGTTGGTCATCATTATACCAAGATAGGCAATGACTGAAAAGTACTGTTGTCTAATGGCTCTCTGGTGCTTCAGCCAAAACAAAGGGTGTCCAGTGCTGGTCCTGAGCAGCAATAGTCATATTGGTGATAACGGCCTTCCCAGCTGTCTCAGAGCCTCACTGCTAGCATATTTTGTGAGCATCAAGTTGACCCTGCCTGAGTCTGAATGCTCAAAATTGTCCATGGTAGCCACCCTGCTTGCTTGAAAATCTTCTTGCTGCAACACTTTGCTGAATTGTTGCAATAATTTCAATGTGGGAGTGGAAGGAGGAGTATGTGCAAGAAGCATTAAGAAGGTCAAAGAAGAGGCGCAATGGTTGTTGAAGAAGACTTAAGACACAACTGAAAGATCCTTGTTTGTTTTCAAAATCTCAATTAAGCAGGAGCAGCTTTGCATGGAGAGGGGGAGGGGTTGCTGCTTCCTTAAAAGCTCTTTCTCCTAGATGAAGTAAGTTAAAGTTGCAAATGAACAGCAATGTTGACTACCAGCAAGTAAAAATGCTGGTTTGTTCCTTGTGACAGCTGTAATTTTTTTTTTTAATGATGCAGAAGAAAATTCAGGTGACTGGTTTGTCGCTTTGATACCAGGAAATGGTATTTGCCTTTCAAATGAAGGATGCACCAGCCTCCAGAATTAGCTGCTGGCCGTTCTGAAATAGGAAGGTCCGTGAGGATAAGCAGCTTGACAGGTAAAGTGCTTATGAAACAAAAGCAGGAATCGCTGAAACAAAAGCGAGACAGCAAGCAATAGCAAGAAGAAGGTTAAGCGCAAATAGAAATTCTGTGAACGATCTTCAAAAGAATCACATTAATTAAACATAAGCTCCTTTCTAGTCTAATTAGCAAATACAGTGACATTGAGAAATCATATGTTTCTACTGACTCTTTGGAAACCCCAGGGCTTTTATCTTCCAATATTCCTG